ACCTCTAGATGTAATATCCCCTGTGGGCAATCCTGATAAGAACGGCTGGGGAGTACAGGGCAGTAATATCCTCCTGGAGCTTGCAAACCCCAAGCCATAGATCCTGAACGCCAAACCCAAAACTCTTAAATGATTCGGGCTCAAGGACTTAGATCCTGAGAATATTGCATCCTACTGCGGCTGGGCTGCTGTTGCTAGGCCGTCCCCACCCTCCGGATCCACCAATCGAGTGAACCAGTCAGGCAGGACCACGATCAAGTCTGGCAGAAACCATGTGCGCAAGTACCTTTGTTTCGGGTGTACGTCGGATCTAGAGTTCAGGGCTATGGGTCCCCCAAGTATATTACATGGCTTTGGCTAAATTACTGTTCTCAGAAATTTATACAGGGACCCGTATTGTACTGGGAGAACCACTACAGGGACCGATATTATAGTTCGGTTACAAGGAATCCCCACCTATGCCCAGCAGTGGGGTTTCTTAAGTCTGCCAATCTGTGTCTCAATACCGGAGCTCCCTCAACTTGCGCACACGCAACAAAAGGGTATAAACAATTCCTGAACCATAAACCCTAAACCAATGCGATAAGGTCACCGACAAGCTATCCTCTTGGGTGAGAGGATAAGTTCACCATCGTCGAAGTAACCGACCTGAGGAAGAACTCTACGCAGGGAGTACATAGCAGGGATGTGTGTGGTTATATGAGGGTTGAATAGGGAATGGGGTGTATCTAAGAGCATATGGATATATGAGCTATAATCGAACCTCCCAACCCCTATAATAATACCCTATCTAATCCCATATACAATTTCCCATTGAGGAATTTAGACTATAGCTCATATGGCGTGAGGACATGCGGAGAAGGGCTTAGGGGGTATGGAGCCCTGGCCAGGTCCTCACTAGCCAGGGGGGCTTCAGTGGGACTATGTCGGGGATAAAGGGTTTAGGGCAACACACAACCTCTTGACCTTTTGCTTGCTATTGCTGACCTTCTTCTTGCTTTCGATCAAACTGCAAAAGCTGACTCCTAATCATGTCTTTGCCATTACGACATAACAGCCCATCATCCACCAACCTCTCAACAGCTCAAGTTTCCACTTTGTTGACGATTTTTTTGCATCTGATTCTCCATATTTGGGAGTAGATGTCCCTAAGCCCAAAGCGCCACATAACCCCTATATAACTCCTTCAACCTCCTTCAAGCAGGTTCCCCCCCCCCCAAAGCCTAAACCGGATGTCTCAGCCAGGGGCGAGAAGTGTCGCTACCATGTCCAGGGTCCAAAAAATCAAAGAGACCCAGCCCATGAACATAGTGAACTGGCACACGCAGGCAGGGAATTTCTGGCCTTGAGGTTCAGGTCCTAGGATGTAAGGTCTTACAGGGTTTCGGATTTAAGGTTTAACGCTGAGGGTTCAAGCTTTAGATTCAGGGATTCCGGGCTTCTTAGGATTTGACGTTGGAGGCTCACAAATTAATACTTTGGGACTGATGAAGTATATCATATACTATGATCTAATTTGAGCAGGATTGAGACGGAATGATGCTGGCAGTTATCCAGGCTAGTACCCCCAGAATGACACCTGGTACCTACACTCGAACCCACCGCCCAAAACAAAAAGCCTTTTGTGCACTTTGAGAACTTAAAACCCCGACCCCTAAAGCGTGCGCCCCCGCAATGATACCGGAGTGGCCCCCCTTGTTGGAGAAGCTAGCAGCCAGAAATCCTTCTGGGAGGATGTTTCTTCAAAGTCCCTCCCACAACGGATCTTTGCAGTTTGGGTTATATGCGGGCATTCCAGGAGGACCCTGTGCTTTCCAAACCCTAAACCCATAGAGCAACTGTTAGATTCCAATACTGTCAGCATTTTTGGGATCCTAAGAAGTGCATGAATTCCTCCTTCCACCGAAGGACCTCCTGACGGTCTGTTTTTCGAGAAGTCCATACGAGTGGATGCAAGCACAATAGGAAAATTGGCACAGTAAGCCCAATCTCACAAATAGGACCCTGTAACCATCATGTGGTTATGCTGGCGTCCTGATTTGGGGGATCAGGGGTAGCAAATTCTTTTCCGAAACTTACACCTCGAAACTCTTCATCCGTAAACCGTGTGGGAGCTCGAAAGGTGGACGAAGGTAGGTAGGTTAAAGGATCCCTAATGTAAACTCGAGTATATTGGGGCTTATTTTCTATAGCCCCACCTTTGGAGCCCTCCGAGCGATGGCAAGGAGGATCAAGCAAGTCGGAGTCACCGTGTCTTCAGCTGGGTCAAAGCATTGAAGCGGGATCCACCAAACATCATAGCCTGGGTTGCTGTTAAGAAGTTAAGCTAAGTTACTATATTTGGGGAAACCCTCTCACTTACTATCCCTAAACCCTAAACTACATGCCCATCATGGCAACTTGAAGTATTTTCCTTATAACACCAAACAGCGTAACCTCGGGACCCCGGGGACCGAAAGGATACGTTGGGACTTTAATGTAGGGCTTGGCATCCTTAGACTTAGGGTTTAGGGCATAGGGTTTGGGGTTTAGGGTTTAGGGCTTAGGGTTTGGGGTTTAGGGTTTCCAACTGGAAGCGTCACGCCTCGACCCAAGAGATCGTGGGCGGCGCGTCGCGCTCAAGCTAAACTCCCACCCCGAGAACACCCAGTCACTACTGTTTTAGGGGTTTCGTTTTTTTTTTTGTGGCTTGAGTCTTCTCTCGCCTTGGGCTTTTCTTGTACTGTACATCTGTGGACGGCGCCGAAGATGCGAGTGTGATCAACATATTCATACCTCCATCCCAAGAGCTTCCGGCTTGTAGTCCCAAAATCGCGCACGGGTCTGCGGCGCCATCGTTCGCTGCCGCTGCGCTCTGCGGCGCCACTAGCGGTAGGGGATTTGAATAATATCCTAAGGCTGCCTCCGTCCCAAGAGCTTCCGGTTTATTATCCCAGAATCTCTCGCGGGGCTGCGGCGCCATCGCTCGCTGCCGCTGCGCTCTGTGGCGCCGCCTTTTACAATTACTTCTGGTTGTAAAGTTTGAATGTCCTGTGCAATACGATTATGACCCAACATACGCAGACCTTCAGCCCAAGAGCGTCCGGTTTAGCGTCCGGCTTAAAGTCCCAGAATCACTCACAGGGCTGCGGCGCCACCTCGATTGTTTAAAGCCTGGTTGGAGAAGCAGGACGGAGCGCTTTGAGGCGGCTCCGAGGCGCCTAGCCTAGGTGCCTGGCCCGCTTTGTGGAGGCCCTTCAAAACCCCTTCAAGGGTACTTGGGACCCAGGGCCTCAGGGGTCTCTCAGGCTCGTTTGGCTCATGCTAAAGAGGCTGTCGAAAAACTGAGCCAGACACCCACTCTCGCGTTGCAGCCGGGGGCCCGAGGGCCCGGGGGCTCCTGAGAGTGCCTGAGAGCCCTAAATCCAAAACCCGTCATCTTCCGGAAGGGGGCTCAGGCCTTAGGGTAATACAATATACTGAAGGCCTTTACGGCCTGGTATCCACTTTCAACGCTGCATAAGAGGCGTCACGGCCCGCTTGGGCTAGGGTCAGTATATATGGGACCTCGACCAGCCAGATT